GCTCAACAGACGACGTCACAGCCACAAGCAGACACTACTCTGGGTGAGCCGCAAAGCAGCATGCAGAGCTCGCGACCGGGCGACCAGGCGCGCGCAACGTTAGTGCGGTGAGCAGCCAGCAGGCACGGCAGCGACTGCCATTAGTGTCCAGCACGGAACCAGGGTGGTGACACGCAAACTAAAGGCCACGTGGCGCCTTCCGACCGGTCACGGGCAAGCCTGGCTCCGCGACACGGAAGATGCAGCGTTCCTTCCCTTCCCTTCCCAGCGTGGCCCCAGGACAGCTGTCACGCTGCACTCGCCCAGCTGAGTGTGAACCTGCTTGTGCTTGAGCAGAAGAGGAATTCGTGCTTTCAGATGAGCACCACGTGGCGGCTACTGACCCGCTCACAGAGCGAGGCCACGCCCACACCACAAGGCCACGCCCAAGGCCAATGATTTGGAAAAAGCCAATTCAGGGCGTGCAGTTACAATCCCCCACTCCTGGCACGTTGGGGTCCACTCAATGGTCAGTGCATCTGCACGTGGACACTCGCCGAGACACTGGAAGAAAGGAACCCTGCATCCCAGTCATGTGGCGGCTGGGTGACACCGGGTGACGTTAGTGAGCCACCAGCACCGCGCCCTGAAGGAACACGAAGGGGACCCAGTAGAGCCCTGTGTTCAGTGAGAACCGCCAGCCACGGGTACCTGGTGGAAGTGCTGGCTCACTTCACGGGACAGTGAGCTCATTGAGCTACAGCGCGAAAGCTACAAAACAGCGAGGACAGACAGTCAAATGCGCCGCGCTCCAAGCCGGGGAGCAAGTCCCGACTTTACAAGCCACGAGAGCTCCCGTGGGAAGAGGCGAGGAGCCTCGCAGGCCGTTTTAACGCCCAGGTCTAGTTAAGACACATTAGTGGGGGGTCTGTCCGGGTCTCGGCCAGAGCCGCCGACCGCCGGACCCCGAGGAATGCAGCAATCGGCGTGCCAGGCTGCGGGCAGAGCTTGGGTTGTGACCTCAGACCCCTCCCAGGGACTCTGCTCACAACCGTGCGATGGCACTTAGGACACAGCAACTCTTCAAGTTGTGAAAGCGTTTCAACTGCCTGTTCTGCCCATTAACACTTATTTTCACAGGAAGAGACGCTGGGGCGCCCTTACCTCTCCCCCCTGGGGGCCGTCCACTGGGCAGGGGGCCAGTTCAGAAGCAGGGAGCGAGTTGGCCGGGCTCACAACCTGCCGGGAAGGACACGAAATGCAGCAACTACCAAGGTCAGTGAGCGAGCCTCCCGCAGGGGCGGGTGACATGGCGCCTTGCGTGGGTGCAGGCTACAGACTGCCCTGCTTCACGGAGGGCTCCTCGGAGAGGTGAAGCCAAGAACCCGCTGTGGTGCGCCGGCCATCACCGCCCCGCGCCCCACTGTGTGCCTGTGACCCGTGTGACCCGTACCCCATTTCTGAGAAGGAAACGAGCCTGGAAAAGTGACTCCCACGTCTCACACACTGACTAGCGGGGACCAGGGCTGAACCGGCTGATCCGACTTCAGAG